GAACACATACTAATGCTGGAGATTGACCGGGAAACCCAAATAAAAATGCAAAACAGACGAAAGAAAACATGCACAGACCCGATCAATGGGTGAGTTCACTGACTCACTGAGTTGTCGTTTTTTTTCGTTTGTTTGTTTGTTTGTTTGTTTGTTTGTTTTTCGGGGTCCTCGTTTTGCATCTTGTCATACTTGTTACCAGGGTCAAATAAGTTGAAATAACATTAGAAACGTTGTGCAAACAAAACACAGTATTAATTTTAGTGCAGTGCAAACCACGCGTGGAGTCCCACACAGCCCCATCACAAAACTGGGGCTGGTGGTTTTTCCGCCTCCCCGTTGAAGACTGCTGTGGACATTCGAATTTGAATGCCCACCCCATTTTCATCCTGCTGTGCCGCTTCAGTTGTCTCAGAGAGAGAGAGAGAGAGAGAGAGAGAGAGAGAGAGAGAGAGAGAGAGAGAGAGAGAGAGAGAGGGAGGGAGAGAGAGAGAGAGAGAGGTGCTGTCAAACTCGTGAAACAGAGCCACGGTGTCCTGGCCCATATGCCACTGTTATTGTCTATAATTCCTTCTAATACCGAAACATATTGAACAATCTCCAATTTCCGCGGCGAGTGGAATGTGATGTCCCCTTCTCAGCTGCTCTAGCCCCTTCCCCTAGCTACTTGTTTGCAAAAATGTGGCAGGTAGGTCAAGGCTTCACCTAGTTGGTTGCCTGCTGCCATACTCAACTGCCTATCTGGAGGAGACTCAGGAGAACAAATACATAATAGAAAAATTCTCTTCAACCCGCTCATGGCTAGATCACCCGATTTCCGGTCAAATTGATACAACTATCTACTACATCCACACTGGGTAATGTTAGGATTCAGTACCGGATGAGACAAAAGCACCTGCCTGCCGCATGTTCTCCCAAGAAAGTCTCTCTGCAGAAAATGCATTAACCTCCCTCTCCGTCGTCACCGTTAAACTTGTTTTGCATGTTTCCGCTTCGATGCTTCAATCATCTCCCTGCAACGGCGAGGCAAGGTCATTCACGAATACGCGTAGGTACAGAAAAGTACAGGTCAACAAACTCGGGAGTCAGGCATTGTTTAAAAAAAAAAAAAAAAAAAAAAAAAAAGAGTCAGGCATTGGTGCAAGCAATGAACCGTCATGCACAGACAAGCCGCACTACGGACTCTTCATGAAAGTAGTGTTCGCCCTCCAGCCCCTATGTGTTGCCTCGCTGCTTTTTGTCTTCCCCTGTGCTCCCCGGTCCATGTGCCTTGTTGTGGTCTGTCATCCAACAGCGCATGATTACCTCACTGCCGCTTGCTTCGTTGTCTTGGGCTTTCCCCCTTCATCTTTGTTTGTTTGTGACGTACTATTGTGTGCAGCTGCATCGAGGCATAGATGCGCCTGCTTTTAGTCTTTCCCTGCCTTCTGCCTTCTGCTTTCTGCTACTAAATGCGTCCGCCCAACGCCTGCTATCGTTTCAAGCACACAAGAAGTTTTTGGCCACACCCTGTCGAGTTTGCACTGGTTGCGTTGTTGGTAGAGTACACCATCCGTCCAACGCCTACTATCGTTTCACTAAACGCACAAGACGTTTTTGGCCACACCCTGTCGAGTTTGCACTAATTGCGTTGTTCGTAGAGTACACCATTGCCTGCTAGAGTGCCCCTCGCAAGTTTCCGTTCAGTTCGGCGCTCCCGCAAGTCCCCACAGGTTACGCCGACTTGCTTCGGAGCTGGCCTGCCTGGCAGACCATCCGTGCCATGGCGTGCCTCCGTGCACATGACCTCTACGCACCCACACACATGCCCGCGAACGCACATGCACAAACAATGTAAATGTACTACAAACTGCTCATGCTGCGCTGTGGATGCATATGCCGAATGACATAGTTATTAATATCAAGCCAACTCCGAACTGCAAACAGGAACATTTCATTGGGCAACAGGCACCTGAAAAAAAAAAAAAAAAAAAAAAAAAAAAAAAAACAAAAAAAAAAAAAAAAAAAAAAAAAAAAAAAAAAAAAAAAAAAATTTATTTTTTTTTTTTTTTTTAAAAAAAAAAAAAAAAAAACGTTTTGGTGGTGGCCCATGTGTGGAAGAGAAAGCCGAAATCGACAATCTGGGAGATGGAGATGTTTTGGGATGATTCGATCCCCTCACCTACAGCAAATATGGCATAGAGTCACGCTGCCTGGATGAGACAGGATCCGTGGGAAAGCACTTCCCTTTCTTGCATCTGAAGCGTTGGGTCCTGACATCTGACATCTGACACGCTGCCTGGATGAGACAGGATCCGTGGGAAAGCACTTCCCTCTCTTTTTTCGCATTTCTCTCTTCATTTGTTTTGTCAAGGTATGGTTTTTCGTTTTTATTTTACCTAGTATTTTACTCTGCCACCCACCCGTCCCACACAGCGTCACACTAATCCAAAGACATGGTAGTGGGATCTCCCTCCTGGAGCGAGATCCCAGTAGCCATGTATGTGGGTTAATGTGACGGGTGTGGGACGGGTGGGGGACAGGTTGGTGGCAGCGTGAAATAGGGAAAATAAACGCGCAAAAAAAAACGTTTCGTGACCAAACGAATGAAGGAAAAACTGCTAAAAAAAAAAAAAAGAAAGKGCTCCTCTCACAGAATCTGATGGTGTCTGCTCCAGGCGGGGTGTCAGATGTCAGGGTATGATTCACTGACCATGGCCGCTGTGGCTGTCAAGGCGACTGCATGTGAGTGGGCACACGGACCATATTCATTGACAATAGTCTGAGGCTTCCTTGAAATAGGCCGCAGTGCACACTGTTCGGTTGTTCTGACAGAAATTCTCTTTGGCAAAGGAGGGCAAGTGTAACTCCATACACCATTTGTTTTTTTTTTTTTTTTTTTTTTTGAATCATACACCATTTGCTGTAGGTGGAGGGGATCGAACCCTTCCAAACACCTCCCAAACCACAATCAATTTCCAGCAATGAAGCCAAACACCATTTGCCTTCACCGTGGTGAACGAAACGTGTGTGATTTCATGAACCAAAAAATTTGGTCTCGATTTCATGCACGCACATTTGGGACCGCCACAGGACCCCCACAGCAAAAACGAAAGAAAAACCTACCAAATGATGGGAGAGCGAAAAAAACATCCTTTTTCCCGGGCTTAATTCACAAAAACAGGCTACCGCTGATTTCCTGCCAAATCCACGATGCCTGACAGTCACACACCTTAAACACTAATYCACATACTTCGGTAGTGGGATCTCGCTCCTTTTTTTTTTTTTTTTTTTTCCTGGTAACCGCAGAAAAAAATATTCTTTGTTTCTGCATAATCACCCTTTTGACATAAAAAGAAGAAAAAGAACAAGAAAGTCTCCCTCTGTGTGCTTGGCAGGCGTGTCATATGCTAGTAGCCAGCCTCCACAACAACCTGGAGGCCCGTAAGAGCTTGTGGAGTTCCGTGAATATGCACTTTGCCTACATTGGTTTTGTATCCCGCTTTAAGCGACCCTTTCACCAGCGCTAGGAATTTCTCACAGGCAATCTCTTTTTCGATAATTTGCATGATAACGTTGTGATCTATAGAATCAATATTTAAAAAAAAAAAAAAAAAAAAGTTTTAAAAACACGGTCCTAACCAAATCACTGTCGAAAGCCTTGAAATCAGGCCCCTGCCCCCCCCCTTTTTTTTTTTTTTTTTTTTTTTTTTTTGGCTCCACTCACATTTGTGGGGAGTGACACGTGCTGGAAATCGGGTCCAGCGTCCCTTACAAATGATCATTCAGCACCTACCATAAGCCTCTTCACCCATTCAGGGCGCCAGATATGACTATAGTACGCAAGCTGGTAGAAACTCGATACATGTCTAGGCAGTCCACCATGTCCACCTATTGCAGACCAGACCGGGTACTGTTATAGAATTCGTAGTGAGGGGTGCACTTCCCCAAGATAAAAATCAGCTACTCACTGCGGAGTGACAAACAATGTGGCTACGAGGACGCGTTCATGGAGGCCGGGGCCCCAGGAGCCAAGCTGACAGTTTGGTTTGATTCCCCCGTGCTTGTTCCTTGAAGCCAAATTACTGTCCCTAAAATAAAAATAAAAATAAAAAAAAATTACTGTCCCTTCCCCAGGTGCAGAAGAACCACATGTAGCTCTGAGCCAGTTTGCCTGTCCTGGAGCATGGTCCCATTAGCAAAGAGGATTGGATTTAGCTCCTGAATCTGGACGTCCTTTAAGCAGAGATGCAGAAAAGCTGTTCAATCTCGAATTTCTGCACTTTTTCCAGGAACACATCTAGATTCATTCGTTCAATCCAATCCATGTTGCTAGTGGGACCTTGCCCCTGATGTGTTTTCTGAACTTTTCTCCGATCCACCCATATCATCATTCTGATATTTCCTAGAACGCTCTGTAAGATAAAGGTATCAGAATAAACTTTTTTGTCTAGGCAACCAGAGTGGCCCGGGGGGGTCAATTGCCCGGCCGGGGCAAAAAAAAAAAAAAAAAAAAAAAAAAAAAAAAAAGGTGCTCTGGAGATTCCGTACTCTTGCATCTGAAGCGTTGGGTCCTGAACCAATGATTTGTTTCCGTTAAGCCACTTGGCGGTCGGAATAGCCCTACGAGACTGTAGCCACGCCAAGCTGGCAAATTTGACTGACACGATCCGCTCGATTGATTTCCAGCCTTTCTTAATCCCCTTAAATTGTAGTCACAAGGCGGTTTGCCAGCTCATCCGACTGGCTTTCTGCCATCCACTTGATCTTCACTTCGAAAGGCACAGACCATGGCTTCACTTGTTCTAGGCATCCCACCTTTGGCTTGTATTCCAACAGCGGACAGCCCCCCTTTCGANAGAAGAAGAAGAAGAAGAAGAAGAAGAAGAAGAAGGAGGAGGAGGAGGAGGAGGAGGAGGAGGAGGAGGAGGAGGAGGAGGAGTAGGAGGAGGAGAAGAAGAAGAAGGAATACAGCGCATCTGCAATCAGCACACCTCACGTGTGTGCCACAAGTATGTTATAATAAAGTAAAGTAAACTTTGTTTTGAACATAGCACACTGAATAGTAAAATGCCAAATTAATAGAACGAGTGCATGCATTCTGATTTTTCTTTCTTCTTTGTCCAGACTCTAAGAGCCTGTGTTGCTCGTGAAAAACACAAATCTTGGGTTTATGAAAACGCGCGAAAGCGATCACGTCGGCATCTGAATTCGAACTCAGGTCTGTGTTTCAACAGCTGATAGGTGTGCCAAATGAGCCACCCATTCCATTTAGCATCTCACTATTTAGCGTTTGCATAATTGGGTCATATGTATGAGAGTCCTTGTGCACTTAGCAGGGCAAGCAATGGGATCATCCTTTACCTCTTTAGGGAGTGCAAGCATCCAGGGCTGGACTTCACTCCCAGAAGCGTGGATGATGTTGGCAATGGGTCTTAGCATAGCAGCATCGTCTTCCGTGTAAAACGTTACAGCCTCCCCTGCTCTTCCTGCTCGACCGCTTCTCCCTGCGCAAGGCCACAAAAGTAATCAGGTCGATTCTGTGAGTTCACACTCCAGAGTCAGAAGAGGACATCATAAGCCATGCTACATGCAGCCAGTTTCCACTCTATAGACATCTGCTACAAGCAGACGTAGAGGACCATGTTACATGCCCAGTTGGGCGATGTACATAATGACCGAGGATCCACAATGTGATAAAAAGGACTGAATGGACAATGCAGTGCAAGTAGAATGTCAACAAGCAATGTGCATTCCGATACATACAAAATGGTGCTTTTATACCGCAGGGAAGACTTTAGATACAAGTCCTGACCCGACCGGGACTGACCTCATTCACGTAGCACAAGATAGCAAAGCAGAATGCTAGAATGCAAATGACTAGCCCAATCAATGTTTAAACGCAGACCAAACATGCATCATGTCCATCCCAAGGTGTGAAGGAGCCTGGCGCTCTACACAGGAAAGAGGCGCCAGGTCCAGACGTACACAGATGAAGAGGAGGGGATCAGACGAAGAAGAGGAAGGGGGAGATGGAAAAGTCGTCAACACCAAGTCTCGTTTCAAATCCCAAATAATCCCTCTTCGAT